CCAACAGCTATTCAACAAAAAGACCCCTTCACATGCTCCATCATCGCCTCATCGCGACACACTAAATGAACGATATCCTTCGATGCAGTGATTCATTTTCACATCTGAAATCAGGCAGCGGATTCAGGGATGCATCTATTTTCTCCCTTGATTAACAGAAAGAAAACAAAGAAAGTAAAACGGAGAGGTAGAAAAGTAATCAGTGCGTGGAGGCGTTGTCGTGTGCCTCACAATCAATTCCCGTATTGATCTGGCCAAATTGGAGTCGTGGTGAAGCCCAGATGTGATTGCGAAAGGCATTTAGAAGTTGTTTGACTTTTGGGGATTCTTCCTCCCTCAGTCCTGATCCCTCTCTATCGTATCTCTATCTCTACAGACGCTCTCATAACCGGTCACTCACACAGTAGATCCCTCCTGTCGTCCTCTTGAGAAGCATTGCAGAGAGGTATTTGATTTAATAAGATTCAATTAAGGGTCAAGAAGGATTAACCCTATAAAATGACTTGTTGCCATGGCAGTGGCACCATTATCTTCTAATCCATAGAGGAGGACCGATTGACCGGCTGCGGTTTGTCTGGTCCTGATCGTTGACTGACCGGCCCTCTCAGATGTGTCAGACTCTGAGCTACTCTCAGATTAACACCTGAGCTGCCTTTTCATGCCATGCACACAAAGACACACGCTTAAACTGTGTGACTATATTTTTTTAATATGTATTTTGAGCTTTTTGTGCCTTTAAAGGCTTTATATGCACTTTTTCACACTTAATATAATATAAATCAAGTATATCCTCTGAAAATAACTCTGTGAGTCATGACTGTCTACAATGGGTGTAACACCTGAGTCCCACTGTCTGTGATGCTTTCAGAGTTTTCAGAGTCCTATCTTCACTTTGTTTACATCGCCTGGACGGCCGGCTGACTCCTCCCCTCGTGTATAAAAGTTGTTTAATTGAGGGACTAGAGAAAAGAAGAATAACATACTGTACTCACTGCTTAACTGTGTTTCTAGATCACGCTCATTTCAGGTAAATTTACATGCAGTGTGAAGATACCAGCATAATAAAGATCGCTAGCATTAGCATGCTAACACAACAATGCAGCGCGAGTTGTTTTGGTTTCATGCTGGTGCTCAAGGGCGACATCTGCATATAAAGCCTTTAATGTAGAGATAGGACAGTGGATAGAGTCGGAAATCAGAGAGAGAGAGAGCAGGGAATGACATGCGGGAAAGGAGCCACAGGTGGGATTCGATCCTGGGCCGCCCGATTGGAGGATTATAGCCTCCATACATGGGGCGCGCGCTCTAAACAATGTGCACCCAGCACCCCAACTCTTAAATTTTCTTCTTGAAAGTTTTCCACGTATCACAAAGGTAATTTCCCCTGCAGACAATAAAGTCCCACATCAGCTGTGGTTGCTATTTCAGGCTGCTTATAATCGTTAGCCAACTTCATTTGAAACTATAATTACTCAGTCGGCATCTGCAAGGCATAAGAAGAGGTAAATTGGGGATTGAGGACAAAAGAGGCTTAGTTGCCCGTGTGGAAGAGTCGTGCATACTTTCAGCATGCACAGACAGCATCTGCAATTTTAACATCAGGACTTCTTCCTGGCTTTCAGGTGAGATAAACACGAGCAATTATCTAATGATCTTTCAAATAGCTTCCCTTAGACCACAAGTAGAAGCCGTTTGATCAATGTGCCCTGTGTACTCCTGGAGAAAACTACATAATAAAGAAACACAGCACAGCTTCTCCTCTCGCCTGACTCATGTATTGATCTGCAGGAGGGAGTGTGTGCGGCTCGCAGACTGTGAGCTGAAATTACTAAACAGCCTGCAAACGAGTGGCTCATCACTGATCTTCCCAGGCTGAGCTACTGCAGCGCTCGTCGACGCAGAGAGACAGCGGTGACAAAACATGATCACAGTGTTCTGCACGTAATGAGAGTGCCTTGTTTTCAGTGAGAAACAAATAGCTCTTCGCTGGAGTGATATTTATGTCAGGCTGTCAGAGATGCTAGACCTGCGTTTGGAATGGGAGTCACATGTGAGTCGTTGATAAAACGACTGCAGGAGGAGTTCATCTTCAGGTCTATGCTAAAAGGTTCAAACTCGATCAAAGACTGGTTTAGGTCTGTTTGTGAGACTGTCAGACTCAAACGCGAGAGTCAATCTGTGAAGTACTGTTTGTCTTTCCCACTTTACCAGCAAAGATGACGTCCCAATGACATTTGATGTTATCTTTAAGTAACCACTCAGGGAAAAGAAACCTCTCTCTGCAGCAAACGCAAAAGTTCCACTTGCTCTCAGATTAGATCCCGAATTAGACCATAAATCGTTTTGTGATTTTGGAGGTCAGACTTTTTTGTACAGTGTGTGCAGATACAAATTCGAGCAACCAATTTTAGAACCAGGCTGCAAACATGATTTTTTTCTTTTTCTCAGCTGGTTTAAACATTAACATGTCCTCCAGTGGACACAGGAGGAACTGCAGATTTTGGGAGTTCCGCTGGTTTAATTTTCTCTAAAGATTTATTTTTGGACTTTTTGTGCCTGGAATGATGGGGAATGATGTGCAGGAAAGGTGCCACAGGTCGGATTTGATCCCGGGCTGCCCGCTTGCAGGACTAATGCCTCTGTACATGGGGCGCATGCACTTACCACTACGCTACTGGTCCCCTTTGCTTTCATTTTTATCAGCAGAGGTCGTCGTTTGGGAATACTGAAACTTTTACAATCCTGTTATAACAATGTCACCGAGCAACCAGTTGGTTGATTCTGCTTTATGGCCTTTATGACTGTTTTTGGTCCAAAAAGGAGATCTGTTGAACTCACTCTCACTATTAATGATGTCAGTGTGGGACACATATTGAGTAGCGTTGTGAGACATGTAGATCAAAAACCTCTTTGTTTATCTCGTACTGTTGTCATTATAATCACTCAGAACAAATGGCCCAGGAAGGTTTGCATGTTACATTTTGTGATGATTCCCGATGTTCCTGTAAGAGTAGCTGAAATGTTGTCTGAAGAATGTGCTGTGTGATCTCAAGTCAACGAGGAAGAAAGGCCGGCCTTTTCAAGAAAAGTTTGACTTCCAAGCACACCAGTGGTTTGGAGTTTTTTTCTGTATGTGTAAGGCCAAAGGAGAGTTCAAAGCTGAAGTTCAAAGAGCAAATCGAAGACACAAAGGGAGAGAGCCGAGGAGTTCGTGGAGTTTCACAGGAGACTGAAATCCGATTTGAATGTGTGGGCTGATAAGAAATGTATGTTAGCTGGAAATGACTTCAGTGTTTGAAAAAGATGAAAATACACATCTTTGTTCATTTACCCATTTGAATAGATGTACTATACTTTGACAGACCCATATGTATATCATCATAAGAAAGCATAGAAAAATATAAATACAGGACATCAACAGAGGGATAAAATCACTACAGTTGCCAAAATGTTAGTTATTAAAATGCAATGAGAAATTTGCACCATTGTTTCCAGAAACTGGTAGGGATGGGTACCGAAATCCGGTACCACTATGGTACCAGTACCAACACGTCCAGTATCTACCGGTTAGCTTAGCTTGTAGCTGCCATCCAAAACGGCTTGCTCTGACTACAGATTTTTTTTAAATGATGTCTCTCTTATTCTAAGTCCAAGAAGATTAAAATAAGCTTGCTGTGGCGGTGTGCTCCAATCAAAACTGAAGCTTCTCATGGCTTCATTTTAATAAAGTTAATGTACAGCTGCTTGCTGCTGATTCTGTACTGAACTCCTATAAATAACAGGATATCGAGTGTAACTTTTCAAAATGCGAGGCAAGCTCCTGGTGTTTGTGTCTGTGTGCGTTTGCCTGGATAAGATGAGCAGATTAAAGATGTTTGTTGCAAATACTATATTAATTTAAAGGTAAAAACCCTGTTTGCTATAAATAAAAACCTAATATTAAGAGATAAGAGTCGAAAATAAAGCCTCTGCAGCACTGAGCGCTGCACATCATCATCATCCCTCAAATCATTCCTGAGCATTATAGACTATTTATGAAATGAGCACCACTTCATCACCACTGATCAAATGCATTCATATGTAAATCTCTGACCTTCTAGTGAGATGCTTTTGTTTGCGTGAAGATTACGTTATGATATTTCCTGCTTCTATTGCTCTTTGCTCAGGAGCATCACTTAAGGCTAAAAGCTTTAAACAGAGGAGTGAAAGCATCGCTGTCGAGGATGCTGTCGAGGATGTGCTCTTTTCCTGCACACTTGATCTTTATCAAATGATTTAGGAGGCAGCAATCGACATATTTACACCTACAATTAGATCATGGCTCAGCTGTTTTCATGCAGAACAGGCGCCAAAACAACGAGGGCCGAGCGCTGTGTTGAGAACATCTCATGCTCTCTGTGTGTCTCTGGTTTGACTCCTGGATTATCACAGGAAAAGGATGGTGATGACAGGTGTATGCATGACCTTATGTGTTTCGGGTTGTCAGACTCTGCGGCTCCGTGGCTGCTCTGTATGCTGCTCCTCACCACTCTGCTGGTTTGTATTCTTGTAAATGTTCAGGGACAGATTAACACCCGGGGCTCATGGTGAAAGCAATTAACAAGCCGATGTTGGGACACAGTCGATGCTGTGTTTGGTGGAGATACTCCTCACTGCAATCACATGATGTTTAACAATGACTGGACAGGTGCAACATGTACTTTGGTCTTTATGTTGAAACCTATTTGTGTTGTCATTGTGCTGAAAATGAGTCTCAGTCTCTTGTGTCAACAGCTCTCAGTCACTAAGGGAATTCATTTGAGTTCAGACTGAAGAAACGCTACGAAAATCTCAAACTGACTTTGCTTTTATTTTTGACCGCTGTTTGATTTAGCCAGAAGGTCTTTCTTCTTGCTTGTTTCCATATCTCCATCTTCAGACACATTGAACCTAACCGGTCGAACTTGTGTGTGTGGTGGAATCGAGGTTTGATGATGTTGTGTCTGTTTGTGTCTGATCAGATATCGGACGTTTGTCTCGGAGGACGCAGGACCGAACACTCTCGTTGCCACGGTGCTGGCGAAGGATCCTGACGGGGACGGGATCACGTACAAGATCACGACTGGAAACGAAGAGGGAAACTTTGTCATCGACAGCCAGAAAGGTAAGATTGACTTTAGTTATTAGAGAGAGAGAGAGAGAGAGAGAGAGAGGGAGAGAGAAGCCACAGGTCAGATTCAAACCTTGGCTAACCATTTAGAGGACTGTAGCCTTTGAACACAGGGGCATGTGGAGTAACCACAAAGCCACCAGCGCCTGTAAGATTTAGTCGTGCTTTGTTGCTCCTTGAGGGGATCTGATTGCCGATTGTAATCTTGCAATGAAGAACAACAAAGAAAAAATGGCTCCACTCAGAGCACCATTCAGGGCTGTTCACTTTTCTCCTCCCGAACAAAACCCCTTTTGAATATTAGCTGAACCATAATTCAGTCTGACTCATCATGAAGTTTACAATCATGGCTGCATGTGTAAAAGCAGAACTCCATTCTTACATACCTTTTGCTATACTGCTGCTTTGTAAACTCTTTTTTTTTTACCTCGCTCTTCAAAATGTTTGGAGCGATGTCTCTGAACTTTAGGCAGCTCTGAGGTCTGTGCTACTCATATAGATTCTGCACAAAACCCTGAAATATCCACAAAGATTGTTTTTTTTCTCCTCCCGTTATTTGTGTCTGCCCTCCCTGCTATATTTACGTACGCTGTAGAAATGCAAAAGCGCTGCAGTTTGTCAAGTGTGCCCCAGAGGGTCTTGAAAATATGCTTCACACAGTGCATGCAGTATACTTTTTATGTCCTTCACCGGATCCCACTATTCTGTGTGTGAGGACGCCTCGCCTCTCGTCCTTTTTTAACTGCGAGGAGCTTTGTCAAGGATATTTAAGTCCTGACAGGTGATGTCATGGAGCCGCTGAGATAATCAGCGAGTGTGAGGAGCGTCGCCGCCGCGTCTTTGTAACCAAATATGAAGTGGAGTTTATAGTCGCACGTCTCAACTCCTCCTCTGAGGCAGGAGCAGTGATGCCAGAAGCGATGTGAAATAGGAAACTGCGTTAATGATGCGCAGTGTGTGTGTGTGTGTGTGTGTGTGTGTGTGTGTGTTTGTGTGTGTGGTAAGTCGGTGGGGGATGGGCTTGTTTTCATAACGGTTCGACCCTTGTGAAAGTTGCAACCCCCCCTCTGAATCTACATATCGTGTTATGGGGTAATATGATGACTTTCAGAAATTCAATTACTCAAAACTTGAAGGCCGACTTTCCTCCGTTCCTCAGCGATGGCGTTCACTGTCAGCTGATAGTGGCGGTCACTTTATCGAGCAGTGAGAAGATTTGTCGCTTGATGAGTTCAGGCCTTTATTTTGCATTTTATATGATTTGTTCCTCATTAGTGTTTCCTAATAGAGACTACATTTCTGCTCAGTGTTTATATTTTCAGTTTGATTTGTAAGATCAGCTAGATTTACATGTTGAACTGTCTGTCATCTGGACGGTGGATATCTTTAATTTGACAACTATACAGTATGTTCAAACATGATGATGAGCAATCTGGACGTCAGTTTATTTTTTTTACTCGATCTGTCAAATTGTGACCTGCCGTTATCAGCTTGAGCATGAAAGATGTTGTATTCTTCAGTTGGAAATTAACTCACGTTCAAAGCCACATTAATTTCCTCTCCAACATCAAGACTTCTTTTTTTTTTTGGGATCATTTCCAATTGAATGTTCTGGCTTTGATTGGGCGTTAGTTTGAGTAATACATGTAGATCATTCATTGTCTTGTTCAAGGTGAGTTGTCTTAAAAAGAAGCTGAGGATCGAAGTTTAGTTAGTTGAGAACCCAGTCTGCCCACTGAGCTGACACCAGTGAATGAAGTAGTGCTATCTCCATCTCCAGTGTCCCGTTTGTTCAGGATTGTAATAATTGTTTTTTTAGAAAACCATACTTACATCATTATGTCTTCAGAATTAAACGCACAGTGAGTATATTCCTCCACCAGGGGGCTCTCGACCAAAACAACAACAAAAGATGACGTCAAGGCTGGCGGGGAATCATGGGAGTGATTCTCTCTGCTACTCCCCCCACCCTCGATGAAAAACAAACTCCGCTTTGACGTAGTAAAGTCGACCGGGTGAAACCGACCTGAGGAAGAGAATATGTTTACAGACGAGTTCATGTGTCCGAGTATAATTTACATGATGTTTTTATCACAGCAGCTCATACAGCGACAGGACGGCAGCTTTCAGTAGCAGCTCACGCTTCCTCATGCAGCGTAGCAGAGAGAACCCCCATGATTCCACGCTAGCCTCGACGTCATCTTTTGTTATTGTATTATTGATTGAGAGCCCCCTGGTGGCTAAATCTACATGTGGTATCTTTGAGTAACACCAAACTTATCCTTAATAATAAACCCATCTTCCCTGTTTTTGAAAAATCTAAATAATAAGCATCTTTCAGTTCTTCAATAATATAGTACACTATAAAACATGCTGTAACATGAAGCAGAGATGAGGTAGATAACCAACATGACCGTGAAGTGGAGCAGTCTTTATAACTCAGAAATGAACAAAAGAAACAGAAAAGGCATTAAAAAGTTTGATGTTGTGTCTGTGCAACGCAGCGCCATGCTGCTTTTTTCTCCCTCTGTGTTACCTTCAAAGCACCTGTCTTCATTAAACACCTTCAGTAGTGATAGATGTAAAGAAACAACACAGGCGAGACACACACACACACACACACACACACCTGCAGAAGAGAGACTAATGCAGACGCTCACATAAAGCACAAGACAATTTGTCTGCGGCAGAGAGAGTGTGTGTGTGCCAAAGTGTAACACACCATAATGCTTGTAATATGATCCAATATCTTGTTTCAAAGAGGCCAATATTTGGTCATTAAAACTGTTTTATGATTCTTATAATGGAGGGTGAACACATTGGATTCCTCCCACCCTCTCCAACCCATCTCATTCTCTCTCGGCTGTTGATGAAAATCGTTTATTGCCTCCTCTCCTTCCCTCTTGGAGCCTGTCCCCTCCTCCCCCTCCCCCTCCCTCGCCCCAACTCATCCTAAATGTCTGACAATCATTCAAGCGATTGTTTTCCTCCCTTCTGGCAGGAGCCTCCCCGCCCCCCCCTCCCTCTCCATGTTAATTTGCCTGTAACTCACCCCAGAATACAGTGTGTTTCTGGGAGATTTAAGGTGTCCATTAGGATCCGAGCAGGGCCGGTCAATATGATGATCACGCTCTTCCTATTAAAACCCATAAATACAGAAACAGTCGCTCCGTTGGAGGAGGGAAGCATTTACTGACAGCTGAGGGGGAAATGCTGGCGCCGATAAATAGGCTTCGATCAACTACTTTATTTCTTAGCTAAGTTTTATTGCATTTCAGAAAAGAGTATTTCCTGCAGAGAGGAGAGAGAGAGAGAGAGAGGCGGCAGCGGGCGAGTTTGTTGTTTTCACTTAAGGCTGCAAGATAAGCGTGATAGGGAGGCATTCGTCGCCCCGTTGTCTTGTTTTATTTCTGTTATTCGGGCCTCTCTGCTGAACTGCTCACCTCCATATATTGTGTTCGGCCTGATGTGCTGACCTGTGTCTCATCCACGCTTTATGCAACAACACAACATTGTTTTGCTCTCCTTCTTCTCCGTGCTCCCCTCAGGAGGATATACTGTTATTTCCTCTTTCTCTCTAGTCTCCCTCTTCCCCCTGCTGCCTTATTCATCACTCCTTCTCTCCCATTCCCTTTTTTTCACTTCTCCTTTTTTTTTTTGCTCCTCCAACTGCATTTGCAATTTTTCTGGCATGAGTCTGAGTTGAGGAAGCACTCCTCCCTCAACTCTCCTCACACACACACACACACACACACACACACACACACACACACACCCCTGCTCTGTCCTCCGTCCTCTTTGTCGTCTCTCACCCGTCCCTTTGCTTCGTCCTTCTACTCCCCCCCCTCCTGGCTGCTCTTCATGTGAAGTGACAGCTGCTCGCTGACCCCCGAGGAAACATCTTCTCCATCTCAGATCAGCGATGATATGAGCTGGCCCTGTTAGCAGCCACACAACACACACACACACACACACACACACACACACACACACATACACACACACAAACTAACTCACAAATCCAAATTTCTAGATTAGACCCAACCAGGTGGTCTTGGCCCACAAGTAGAGGGGGCTCCATGAAAAAAGGTTGGGAACCCCTGCTATATATACATATAAAGGCCCTGATACACCAAGGTCATCTTCTTATTCTCACTACAGAGGAGTGATGTCTACCGGGAAAACTCGGGGGGGGGGTCATTGCATTTAAAGAGACTCACACACCAAAACGGAGCGTTCTGAGAGAGCTGGTTTATACAGGGTCACAAACCTCCTCTGGTGCTTGATTCATGTTATATTTTGACCAAAGCACAGCACAGATGTTTCATTTAGACCACAATAATACAATACAAATAAGAGGCTACAATAAAGACAAACTGTAAAATAAGGAGTTCTAAAGGAAACATGGTCTCTGTCAGTCATGAATGCATGTTTATAGAAATAAAGAACCATAGGCTAAATACATTTAAACACATATAGGCCAGTACTGTGCACCCCCACACGCACCCCGGGACACACATATAGAGACTTCATACATCATACATACATGCAGGACTATGAGCCACACTGCAGGGACACGTATCTCTTAGATTAAAACAGACGCTTGCTGTGTTCTCTGTTCTTTGCATGTCCTGAAACCTTTTCCATGTCACATTTTCAACCACTTACCCAGCATGTGTTGCTCTCATCTCAGGCTTTTAGGCCCTATTAGATGTTTATGCCAACCAGAGGGAGAGTGAGGACGGGATAGGACTACAGGGCGCCTCCGGTGCACCCTGTGTAACACAGCGAGCAGGCCGCAGCCTCTCTCTCTCTGTGTGTGTCTGCCTGCTGCCTTTACTGAACTGGTCACATTTATCTGGCCTTCTGTCTCAATTCATTAAGCATGAGTGCACTTCCCTGCACTGTCGGAGCAGCGTGGGTGGAGAGAGGGAGACGGGTGGACTAGGCGCTTACACACTTAATGCATTTTTGCGATGGATATACGTGGTTTT